GCAATCTTTAGAAAACTTTCATAAGCAGTACATGAATGTGGAACTCAAAAATATGCATTGTCATCTACCTATCATGGCATGATGGCAACAATTCATTCTCGGCAGCGGTACACAATGTCATGCATTAAAAGCGGCTCTCCATTGTGTGTTGTGTGTGCGCGAGGAACATGAAACAGATGGCTTTTTATGAAGAGTTAGCCTGAAAAGTGGGAAGCCTCACCAGACCTTTCCATCCTCCAGACTGACATTTTATGATTCAATAAAAGTTTTACTTCTGAAATATGCTGTGTGCATTTTCTATTCTCTAATCTCCTTCACAGCCAAACAAGGTTTTTATTGAAGAATAAAACTGAATTATAAAGGCAAGTCGGTGTGGGGCTGTCTGGTCTCCCACACATGTTCACAGTAAACTGTGTTCATTGCGCTCAATTAAAGGATGTGTTTAGGAAATGTATCAGCGACCATTGGGGGGGGGAGCGGAGAGTCTGAATTACACACCCCTATGTGTCCCCAATCTTATATAATGCAGTTTTAGGAGTTCTGGGAGCTCACAGACTTCTCTGTTTGTCCGAAAAGGCCTGGCTGACTTCCAAAGGCCTGGTGGAGGGGAAGAGTTCTCTGAGGGTTCAGATGCCACTTACACCAAATCTTTGACGTTGAATGTCCTCACCCACGGTCAGGTCTCTTAACAGGCAAAGATGTCAAAGTTGCTACATTCAGGGAAATTGCAGCAAATAACAATTGACTGTAATATTAAAGCTGAGCTCCAGCCTTACCTTTGTCCCCACATTTGTAGTAAGAGTACGCTCAGTTCCCTGTAGAGCAAAATATAACTGTCAGGAACCTCTTGTCAGCCATCTGAGAGATTGTGGTCATTTTCTAGCACATGAAGGTGCCCATGTTTTTGGGCATTCTAGGCACGAGGAGCATGAAAAAAGATGGACTACAGTCATTCTCACCAGGAACACTGAGCTACATTAATCAGCATGTATTGTATTGTATATTGTACAGTATTTGCACAAATGCGCGTTCATCAAAACTTCACCTAAATTCACGTTATGTGACTTGAGCAAAATCAAATGTTCTCAGGCTTTGTTCTCTGCAAATTGAAATCTGAGAATACAGAAAATATTATGGACACTAGGTAGCACTGGGAACAGATGTATATTTCCTATGATAGTCAGCACCTTCTAGTGGCCATAATGCATTATAGTCACAAGATCATAGGCAAAAAAGGAAGATCCCCAGCGCCATCTAGTGGCCATAATATTTTAAGCATTTTCTCCATTCACCAATTCAAGTTGCAGAGAATATAGTCAGAGAACATTTGATTTTGTCCCATTTGCACAGAATGACTTTGCATGCAGTTTCGATGGGTGATTGATTATGCATGATTTTTTATAACAGTAATTATTTAAAACAATGCTCCTCAACACCCTCTCTTTTATATCCTATTATCCTCCTTGGTGTATGCAACAAGAATATAACCATATAAATAATATAATATAGACCCAGGTAAATTATATCAATATGGAATCAATATATTCCAAAGTCTACATCAATCGCACCTCATGAATGTAGCCCTGGGAAGTGATTGATTCAATTGGAGCTGCTATTATACAACTACGACCATCAATGTATCAAAATTTGTGAAAATATATATCAATATATATAAACACAATAATAGCGCTCACAAAAAACAACAGAAATTAAAAAAATAAGAATAAAAATAAGAATAAACCAACCACCAAATAAAATGAAATATTAAATGAAATGGACTTTATTGAAGATCAATTATTATTTGTTACCACACATATTTCATTTTATTTGGTGGTTGGTTTATTATTATTTTTATTATTATTATTTAATTTCAGTTGTTTTTTGAGTGCTATTATTGTGTTTATATATATTTTCACAAATTTTGATAAGAATATAACCATACCTCTAATATGTGAACTTAATATAAATCTTTAGTGTGTCACACCAATATAAAATTCTTCACGTGTATATAAAATATAAGCATAAATATATCCCACATACAAAAAACAAAAAAAAATTTAAACAAAATACACCCAACCAATGTCTTCACCTAATTCTGATTATAATCAAAGGAAAAAAAATCCATGTGTAAAGTGAAATTGAAAGGGAAGATTTTTCATCCATATATTGGTCCTTCAATTCATGTGTAGTTTAAACACCACCACACCGTACTGATCCACCACCCAAACAAATTGAATAAACTCATCAGAGCTCCAGGCTGGTCAAATCATAAACTAGCTGGCACACAGTGGCTCTGGGAGCAATGATCTGCAGCATATTGGTGTGACACACTAAAGATTTATATTAAGTTCACATATTAGAGGTATGGTGATATTCTTGTTGTATACACAGAGGAGGATAATAGGGTATAAAAGAGAGGGTGTGGAGGAGCGCTGCTTTAAATAATTACTGTTATATGTCTTTGTAATCCAAAGAATAGATGGCAGCTCCTCCTCTTTCACGGTGTGAGTTTGTTTAGTTTAGTTTTGGTTTTTCAGTTTACACCTGACGTATATCCAGTGGCGCTGTCTAAGCAGAATGGATATGTATATATATATATATATATATATATATATATATATATAAAACAGTTCCTATAGCTGTGTGTCTAGATGAGAAGATATATTTTGGGGATACAGGTCCCCTTGTATGAGATATGTGCAGCCATTGACATGACAAATAAAAGCTTTGCGCAATTTATTTTTATGTACATCGGTAATTCATGAGCTCAGATTTACGCACCACCAGAGTCATCCACCAGCGTTACAAGAGAACTTCCAGCGTGTTTGGCTGCCGGGCAGATCCATCAAATTCAGTGCACTCCTGGCAAACAGAAGGAAGTTCATCTCCCATCATGTCCCGGCGGCTGGATGGAATATCGCTCCCTGGCTTTTATTATTCACCAACTGCAATAAATCCCAACATGTACTCAGGGACACCACTAAATGTTCTACTGCCCCGGGCATAAACTACAAGGTCACAACAATCATTCCAGACCAACAACGCCATTTACAGCACAATCTGAGACAAAACGCAACATGTCGCTGGCAAAGGCTGAGACGTCTTTCTTTCTTTCTTTCTTAGAGGTAGGGGTTTGACTATGGTTAGATTTGGTCAATGACATCACTGGGTATACCCCTCTCCTTTGTTTATATTTAGTGATGTAGACCAGAGCTGTCATTTGCAGTGAGTGCAGTGGTGGCATTGGACGTGTCCTTTAGTCAGCAGGTTTTTTCTTTCTTTCATTGAGTCAGCAGGAGTTGTTCATTGTGATTGGCAGGGCTCTGTAACGCTGATTTACATTTTGGGACTTTTTTATAAATGAGTGGAGGTACTGTGTACCACTTACTCATTCACACAGGAGGCTTCCAAATTCTAATACACCTCCTCCCTGCAGACCCCCAGAATCAGTGGGCCAGGTTGGTGCAGAAAAGTCCCTTGTGCTTATCAACATGTGGACAGGTTGCCCCTCTATGTTGAGGGTGTTTGGCTGAATGGATTTGGATTTATCACCACCCAAAATTTCAGTAATGTTTGCCAAATTTTCCTAAAAAATTCAGCTCATCCCAGTTCCTGAGAAGGAAAAGAGCTACGCTTATTCACACAGCAGCTGATTCCAGCAATGATAGCAGATTGGTGGGTTTGGTAGCCTCAGAGGCACAAGTCAGTGTTGTATAGTATGTGGAACTGACTCATTTGTAGCCTCAGAGAATGGGACTCTTGGGCTTCAGGGTGGAGAAGATGGACACTTTGCTTAATGTTTGCCACCTGTAATTGGGTCTCTTGTATAAAAATGTCTGAAAAATTGTCTACAACAAATATTTAAATTCCAGCTGCCATCGATCTGGTGCAGATAGTTTTTAGTATTTTGCAAAACATATAAAAAATTTTAAATGAGAACCCTGGGCCCCCCTCCTAAACAAACTCTATCCCAGTAGGGGAGCCCCCATATTCCCTTCACTCCTACCTTTTGTTTCATTTTACAGTAAAAATGCTGAAAATTTAGATAAGACAAGACATTGGGCCTTCCATGCCTCATTGTGGTCTACATTAGTTGGGTTCAGGTTCTGCGCAGGTGGCCAATGTCATTGGCAGCTGATGTTGTTGATAGTCTATTGGGCAGCCTTTGGGCATTCTGCATGTTATCTGCTGGATGAACCCAACTGGAAGCCCACAGTGTGCCCAGAATCCTAAAAAGGTGACACCAGCAAAACTCCTTTTTGGCTACAGTATATTTTGCAAGTGTTGTATGTGTAGGGTTTTGATGGTTGAGAGGCAGATAGATGTACAGCCAAGTTGGTTTATCTTTCATCCCCCCAAGTTTTTTTTTTCTTTACTACTTTCACATTAGTACAGTGCAGACATTTTTTGTCCTGTGCTGCCCTCTGGTGTCTGTTCACATCCTGATCCGCTTCAGGAACTGCTGCCTCCCCTATAAACTAAAATGGTTACTGGAGAAATTTCAGGTGTGTTGTCTTTAGTGCGGATAAGTGATCATCCCACACTGTTGGGTTACCTGACCGCCTTGTATCGGAGGGTTGAGGCAGATTGGGAGGGATCATCATACTGAGGCCCGAGTCAGAGATGGCTATTATTTAAAGCTGAAGTTTAACACGCCTATATTTTGCCTTCTCTGGTTTCTTCATTCCTCCCTTATTAACATGCTAATGACATTTTTAAATATAAACTTTCAATTTTCACTATATGCCTTACTTTAGACCCAGTGTATGGGGCGGAGCTCATATACCTGTGCAAGACTGAAGGGGAGGAGCCGGTACACCTGTGCAAGACTGAGGGGAGGAACCGGTACACCTGTGTAAGACTGAAGGGGAGGAGCCGGTACACCTGTGTAAGACTGAAGGGGAAGAGCCGGTACACCTGTGCGAGACTGAAAGGGAGGAGCTCATACACCTGTGCAAGACTGAAGGGGAGGAGCCGGTACACCTGTGTAAGACTGAAGGGGAGAAGCCGGTACACCTGTGTAAGACTGAAGGGGAAGAGCCGGTACACCTGTGCAAGACTGTAGGGGAGGAGCTCATACACCTGTGCAAGACTGGAGGGGAGGAGCAGGTACACCTGTGCAAGACTGAAGGGGAGGAGCCGGTACACCTGTGTAAGACTGAAGGGGCGGAGCTCATACACCTGTGCAAGACTGGAGGGGAGGAGCCGGTACACCTGTGCAAGACTGAAGGGGAGGAGCCGGTACACCTGTGCAAGACTGAAGGGGCGGAGCTCATACACCTGTGCAAGACTGGAGGGGAGGAGCCGGTACAACTGTGCAAGACTGAAGGGGAAGAGCCGGTACACCTGTGCAAGATTAAAGGGGCGGAGCTCATACACCTATGCAAGACTGAAGGGGCAGAGCTCATACACCTGTGCAAGACTGAAGGGGAGGAGCCGGTACACCTATGCAAGACTGAAGGGGCGGAGCTCATACACCTGTGCAAGACTGAAGGGGATGAGCCGGTACAACTGTGCAAGACTGAAAGGGAGGAGCCGGAACATGTGTGCAAGACTGAAGGGGAGGAGGGAGGACACTTGTGCAAGACTGAAAGGAAGGTCAGAGTTCTGCCATCAACTCACTAGCTGCAGTTCAAGGAGGATGTGGGTGGTTGGGCCCCTGGTCCCATTCAAGGCTGCAGAAAAGTTCGGAATGAACATTGGGCTCCAAATCTGAGAACCAAGTAGTTGCAATTGTTATAAGGATCCTGCCATGAATAACAATGGCTTCTCTGTTTTGCCAGCAGGTGGCAGTAGGCTGTCCACAAGGTGGAAGAAATGTACTGTGTCCTGACCCCTGATGGTGGGTATAGATTTATATGCAAGAAAACTCCCAGACTGCATTCCACTGGATTATTTCTTTGGGAACTGCCAACAGTCAGAGGGGAGCCTGCGGATTGGTGGTCAGGGTCAGGTTAGAGATCAAGGCAGGTAGAAGTTTTGGGTAGAGTGTCAAGATAGATTAAAAACAGGTACCAGAAACCAGGCCAGGTCAGAATCAAAGACAGCCAATCAGAAGCTATATTTAGATGTTGGGCTGAGAGAAAATCAGGACGGGATCAGTAGGAGATCCCAAGGACAAGCTGTGCTGCAACCAACATACTAGAGATCAGAGTAGGCAAAGGAAAAAATGATTGGGTATGCTGTGAAGATAATCCAAACAATAATTTAATTTAAATAAGGTCCCCTGGCCTCCTTCCCTATTGTTTTCTGAGTTCTTTGATCATTAGTACAGAAAAACTTTCAAAAAAAAAGTTTAAGCATTATCTTAAAGCATAAAAGGAATAGTATAGACACTTTGGGATCCATATAAAAATAAATTGCTGGACAAACATCACAAGCATTCGCCCAGCACAATCACAAATTCAGAATTTTGCCTAATGTGTTTATTCCTTATGACTGTCAGCGCCATCCAGTGGCCATAATGTGGTGCTTTCCTGAAATACCTCAATCATGAAAATACTGCAAAATGGCCACTAGATGGAACTGACGAGCATAGGAAATACACTAGTCAAAATATGGTGAGAATGCTTGATGACTAGGCAATTGGTTGTGATGTTTGGGCAACAATTTTTTTTTGTAAATAGATTTTTTTATGTGCATCTTGTACCTTATACATGAGTAACTTAATACATTGTTGCAAGTTCCGGAAAAAAAAAACCCAAGAGATAGGAAATTGCTAAACAATTATTTGATTTAATTCTTTATTTCAGAAAAACCTCAGTATTGGGGGAGGGGGGGGGGTCAGGGGTGAGGGGTAAAAGACTGAGTGGATGGTGTTAGGGCATTTGGGGGGGGGAGTATCAGTACTCTATTTCAAAAAGTTGAGTGAGACTAAGGATAAGGGGTCTCTAAGGTTGAGTTAGGCCAGTATAGTCAGAGGATCAGATGAACATAATCACAGGTGTACTGATTCGGGAGATACTTGGATCTGCCATCATCTTCAGCCTCTGTAGGTGTCAGCATGGTTTTATCGGCAGGAGGGTATACAGAAAAAACAAGTATGGGGAAATTCTTCCTCCTTATTGTGCTGGGAAACCATAAGGACTTCCATATTCATTTTCATTGATTTAAGGGAACCAAAAGCTTTATGGGAAGGGTCATGGGTGGCTTCTATAGGTTGGGGATACATGCTGTTGGTGTGTTGGGTATATGTATGATAAGAGACCATTTAGGCCTTTTTATGATCAGCGTACCACTCGATGTAAATCGCTAGCCAGATTCTTTCTTAGTCCAACTTGGGTGAGGCAGAGGATTAGTCTTTGGACCTCTTCCCAGAATTGGCTGACAAAGGCACAGTTCCCGAAAATAGGAAGCAGCATGCTGGGTGCAGATTGCCAACATAGAAGAGGGACTCACCGAGAGAGTTTGTGGAGGAGTGTCGGTACCAAGATAGCCTTTTGAAGTCCGGAGGATTAATGTGCATAATACATTTCTCCATCCATTTGTGTAGTAGTGAATGTTGTGTGTATGTTGGTCTGTCACTTACTGTATGTATGTAAGGGGTCACATGATGTGTAGTGGGGCAATAAGAAGCTTGCAGAATTAAGAGGGCAAGTGGGTTGCTAGGGACTGATGTCAACAGTGGTCCTAAAATAGGGTGATGGGCCTGGAAAGTGGGGAATGGCCTGGTAAAGCTTTTAGGAAGGTTTGCGTTAGGCCAGTATATTCAGAAGTTCAGATGAATACAATCACAGGTGTTTTGATTCTTGGATCTGCCATGCCCTCATCTTCAGGTTGTGCGGGTTGTCAGCATGGTGCAGGTGACAGTATACAAAGTCAATCCAGGGAAACCAAGTATGTGGAATTGTTCCTCTTTATTGTAATGGGAGAATGTACTATCTTGCATTTTAATAACATGACAAGAATGGGGCCACCAGTTATTAACAGACTTCTTATATGGTGTTAGGGTTAGTAAGTTGGATCATTCTTCCAGAAGCACATTTGTCAGGTCAGGCACTGATGTCGGGGGAGGAGGCACTGATGTCGGGGGAGGAGGCCTGGCTCGCAGTCTCCGCTCTAATTCATCCCAAAGGTGTTCTATGGGGTTGAGGTCAGGACTCTGTGCAGGACAGTCAAGTTCCTCCACCCCAAACTGGCTCCTCCATGTCTTTATGAACTTTGCTTTGTGCACTGGTGTGTAGTCATGTTGGAACAAGAATGGGCCATCCTCTTCCCACAAAGTTGGGAACATGAAATTGTCCAAAATATCTTGGTATGCTGACGCCTTAAGAGTTCCCTTCACTGGAACTAAGGGGCCAAGCCCAACCCCTGAAAAACAACCCCACATTATAATCCCCCCTCCACAATGCAGTTAGGCAAGTACTGTTCTCCTGGCAATAGCCAAACCCAGACACGTCCATTGGATTGCCAGACAGAGAAGCGTGATTGGTCACTCCAGAGAACAAGTCTCTACTGCTCTAGAGTCCAGTGGCAGCATGCTTTACACCAAGGCATTCGACGCTTTGCATTGCACTTGGTGATGTAAGGCTTGGATGTGGCTGCTCGGCCATGGAAACCCATTCCATGAAGCTCTCTACGCACTGTTGTTGTGCTCATCTGAAGGCCCACACCAAGTTTGGAGGTCTTTAGCTATTGACTCTGCAGATAATTGGTGACTTCTGACCCCGCTCTGTCATGTGACGTGGCCTACCACTTGGTGGCTGAGTTGCTGCTGCTCCTAGTTGCTTCCACTTTGTTATAATCCCACTAACAGTTGAGCGTAGAATATTTAGTAGCCAGGAAATGTCACGGATGGACCTATTGCCCAGGTGGCCACCTATGACGGGTCCACATTTGGAGTCACTGAGCTCCTGAGAGCAACCCATTCTTTCACCAATGTTTGTAGAAGCCATCTGCATGCCTAGGGGCTTGATTTTATAACAGGAAGAAGGGTGAGCCGCACACTGGAGGATTGATGAATATAGTGTATATTTATTGATCCACAGGACATGAATACGGGACCTGTTAACGCGTTTCACACGATCTTGTGCTTAATCATGTGGTTGTGGAGACCGTGTGAAACGTGTTAACAGGTCCTGTATTCATGTCCTGTTGTTTTGTGTGTCCTATAGATTCATCAATCCTCCGGTGTGTGGCTGACCCTTCTTCCTGCTGCATCGTGTGTGGTGGTGAGCCAGAGGCCGCGCCTGTTGTGGATTGATTTGGATTGCGTGCCTGAGCGGTATACCTCTGTTCTTTGCTTGATTTTATACACCTGTGGCCATGGAGGGGATTGGAACACCTGAATCACATGATTTTGGAGAGCAGGCTCTATACTTTTGGCAATATGGTGTATTTTACAAATGGACAAATTACCATCCCCCTCTTTTTACCATATGGTTTGGGGCTGCCTGGTTATGAGATCCTACCCTGACCCTAAGGCTGAAATCATGGACTATACAAATTCTCTTCTGAATCCAATATACTGTATGTTATCCAGCAGGATGGAAACACAATCCACTATACCTGCAGAATATTATATCCTGTTGATGTTCCTGTATTCTATATAATATATGATTACCATCGAAGAAAATGCTGGGAATGCTGGAAATGCTAGGGGGTGTCTTTCAAAGCGATTTCTCAGCAAAATAAAGCAAGAAGATATGGATGGATGGAGATATGGATGGATGGATGGATGGAGTTTGCTTTGAAAATACAAAATTAATTAAATAGCATTTTCAGTTTGTGTTGCTCAGAAACAGTTTAGTTCCACTTTAAGAACTTCATATATCTGAATATATAAAAGAGAGGTACAGTTTGCATACAGTCATGATTAGAGATGAGCGAATCGAAGTAGCCGAAGTGGAATTCGAGTCGAATATCGGAAAAATTTCGATTCGCGCCGAATCCGAAAAATAGCCTAATTCGGACGCGCGAATCGAAATTTTTCCGAAAATGGCGGCTGACATGTGCGACGACGGAGCGGGGATGTCTGGGAAGGCGCGCAGACAAGGCGCGCTGACCCATAATGCATTCCTCAACGACATGTGATCGCATCAGCCAATCAGCAGCCAGCCAGCTAGCACTGTGTAATGGTCGAGCTATAAATAGCGGCCATTTTGGAATTCTTCATTTGCCTGCAGTCATTGAACAGAGGAAGACCGCTCTGTATTAGGGACAGGGACAGAGTTAGGGCCACAGAAACGATACTTGGGGACAGAGAAACGATACTTAGGGACACAGATTTGTTAATTAGGGCCACAGAATCGTTACTTAGGGACAAAGAAACGCCAGGGACAGACAGAATTGTTACTGAGTGCCAGAGAATTGTTACTTAGGGCCACAGAAACGTTATTAGGGCCACAGAATTGTTACTCAGGGACAGACAGAATTGTTACTGAGTGCCAGAGAATTGTTACTTAGGGCCACAGAAACGTTATTAGGGCCACAGAATTGTTACTCAGGGACAGACAGAATTGTACTGAGTGCCAGAGAATTGTTACTTAGGGCCACA